TTGAGCTTTTTCATTGGCCAGCTTGCTTATACTACCAGTCTTGCCCTGCAATGTGCAGCCACAGGAAAAAATAGTTGAGTATGTAGAGTCTCAGATAGCATAGAATGATGAAGCTCAAAGGTAGCAGACTGTGCATTTTAAACATGGCTCAGAATTGTTTGCAAAGCACAACAGCTCCTTGGTAGGCAAGCCAATTTGAAGAGAGTTCCTGGCATACAGAAAATGTGAAAAATTCTGCTCTGGAGAAACCTGGTGCTGCTATACCTTTGCTGTTATTATTAAAATAATGGCTGATACATTCAAAGAAGAGGTTACTGGCTTCCTGTTATCAGAGCTTAGAATTAACAAACTATAAACAACATATTCGGGTGAGAATTTGACTACCACTATGGCGTATATCCGCCTCGCAGTCTTTATACTGATTATTTGCTGTTTTATTATTGTTTTTATTGCTTTTTACTGTTGTCGTTTTTATTATCATGTTTTACATATTGTATTATTGTACAGTGTTGTACATTTTATCTTTGTGCTCCCACCTCGATCCATAGGGAAAGGCGGGAAAATATAAATTATTATTATTATTATTATTATTATTATTATTATTATTATTATTATTATTATTATTATTATTATTATTATTTACTTACTTGGGATAAGAAGGATGCCACAAAATCAACTTTTCAAAGTACCATAACATGTAAAAATGCAGTTACTTTTTTAGTATAGTGAGTAATGGCTTCTAATTACTTTCAATAGTTACTTTAAAGGCATTTGCTCAAGAATTTTTGGAGCTGAGAGTTTTATGCCTTTCTCTTTATCAATCCAAAGAGGCTTTTCTCCTCTTAAAAAAATGGAAATCAATAGAAAAATACAAGCACCACAATAAATATCAAGATAGGTTATTTTTTCCAACATTGCAATGTATAATGGCAACAACTACGGGGGGATGCAGATGGGCTAAAAGGGTTGTTTTGAGAGTGACCAGAAGGCATGGTCTTTAGATGACGCACGCTGAAAAAGTGCCCCATACTTGCCTCTTCCTGTGAAAGTGCGCTTCAAAAAGGAGCCACATTTTTCCGCTTCTTCCAAAAACATGCGCACCTTCAAAGGTACATCGGGATGCAGCGACGGAGGGACGGCGGAAAAAAGGGCATCCAAAAGTTAAAGACACTGGTGTAAATGCACGTGAACAGGTGCGCCGCCTTTTGAGCTCCCCCTGGGGAGCATGCATCCTTTGAAAAAAGCTTTAAATTAAAGCGTTTTTAGGGTTCAGGTGTGG